TCACCAACAACTGTGAACTGCCGGTACCCTTGGGTGCTGAGAACTTGTGTGAAGTCAACAATTGCACTCTTCATATCCCAAGCCACATCAGCAAGTATGGATGGTGTAGCAGCAGCGCATTCTAAGCGAACACCTGTCGGTGTCCAGCAGAGGCATACTTGGCTACAACCAACCTCCAAATTCAGTGATGCCGCACTGGATGTGAACTGAAGACTGGCTGACTCTTTCTTCATACGATGAATTATGTAGGTGACTAAGCGACCGAACAGTGGTGGAGGAAACAGCATCCCAGGGAAGCTGAGGTGGTTAAACGGTAGCTTAAAGGGAACATCCTCCTCCAAAACCAACCGTAATGCTTCCTGGTTGCAACAGAACGGGATGAAGAGGTCGGGTAGGCCTGGCGTGACAACCGGACATCTGTCTTGTCTGCTGATGCTGCTGCTGTTGCTGCTGCCGCCGACTCTACTGCCACACCCTCCGGTGCTGGTATCTGTACTGCTGGTGGCTGTACTGCTGTTGACTGTACTGCTGGTGACTGTACTGCTGGTGGCTGTACTGCTGGTGGCTGTACTGCTGGTGGCTGCACTGCTGGCGGGCTGAAGTTCTGCTGCCAAGTTGAAGTAACACATGGATTTGCAGAGAGCTAGCTGGACAACACGGCTGAGAGGATACCAAACTTTCTCTATCAACATCGCGCTGGCAATTCCCGTACGTCGAAAGTGTTGCACTTCTCTGACTAATGTTGCTGAGGTGCTTGGAAAAGCTGTCTCCTTCAGAGGGAAGGTCATCAAGCGTACAAAGTTGAGTAACAGCTGCTGGGGTTCAAGGAAAATGACACTTGAAGTGAGTGGATGCGGGCAGTCACAGCAAAACACTGTGCCATGTTGCTGAAGGTGGTGCAGTAGATCAGACACTTGTGCAGTGGTGAGATCTTTGCCGCTAACATGCCGACAAAAGTCTACAAACTGTGGGTAGTCCATACTAACAAAACTCTGCTGCTGCCGCTGCTGCTGCTGCTCACTACTGGTAGCTTGCATTGCATCATCACTGCACCCAGCCTTTGCATAGCGAAGCATTTCCTTTTGGTGGAGAGAAATAGCTTCTTCTATCTTCACTTGCATCAAGGGAATTGCTTGGACAGGAAAGGCAGACACAATTCTAGAGAGCTCTTGCTGTGCTTCAGCAAGCTGGCTGTGGCGAGATACGCGATCTTGAAGACGGTGATTGTCAACAAAGAAGGGTCCACAGACCTTGACGTTGGGGCCGGCCCTTTCAGCCAGCTTGGACACGGCATTGAAGAACATGTCCTTCTTCTTCTCTATTTGGTCGTCGTCGACAAGATCCACATGGGTAACAACAACCATGATGGCTGTGCTACTCTCATCATGATGGTGGCTGCTATTGCTGCTACTGCTCTTACCCGCCTCTGTGTCTGACTGATGCTGATGCTGCTGCTGTTGGTGCTGCTGATGTTGCTGCTGCTGCTGCTGCTGTTGCGGCTGCTGCTGCTGTTGCTGCTGCTGTTGCTGCTGCTGCTGGTGGTGATGCTGGTCAGGGTGTGTGTCTGCTCTATGCTGCAAAGCAATCAGTGACAGACACATGTGAAGGTAGTCAGCCTGCGTCATTCCTGGCAACGGTGTAGAAGTTACAATCTCCTGACCATCGAAGCGGTAGACGTCTTCCGTTACCTCTTCATCCAGGTCACACCTCATGTCAAGAGTCACAATGTACACGCTGTCACAAATTGAAAACGAGATGCTTTGTTGTACCAACATCGGCATCTGTCCACCCATGTCCCACAGCTCAACAAACGCATACGCTGCTTCCTCTCCATTTGAACTGTTATCGACATTGCTGACAGACGAGCGAACTTGAGAGATAACATCTGGTGCCACTTTGGTCAGGTCATTAGCATGAGGAACATTGGCAAACTCATTGTGGACAGCGGATGTAGCTGCTGCTCCACCAGTAGCCGGGAAAGTAGCCAAAGGAGTACTCTTTGTTGGTGGAAGTAGTGACCTGGTGAATTTCTTGAGCTTGGACCATGCTGATGGTTGTGCAGCGATGGGTAGCTCTGGAGCCTCCTTGATTTTCTTGACCAGATCTAGAGATGATCGGATACGAGCTGTGAGTAGATTGACAAAGAAACTATGTTGACTGTTGTCCACAAGAACTTGTGCGGCTTCTTGTGTGCCTGTGGCGAGTTGAGAGGAGAGATGCATTCTGAGTCTGGATCGATGGATGGAAATGGAGTCGGTGCTGTCTGCGTTTTCAATGAACTCTTCACCGAGCAGTGCACGGACAAAGCTGGACTTTCCTGTGGCGTACTTGCCGACAAGGTACATACGCACACGTACCACGCTGGCCTCGTCCTTGCCACCAATGATGTCCTCAGCCACAGCAGCTGCATTACAATGAACAATAATAATGCAGCAGCAGCAGTAGCAGCAAGAAGAGCAGCAACAGCAGTAGCAGCAACAATCATTAGTACATGTTATCA